TATATGTGTGTGTGGGTGTATTAATATATATTATTAATTACTTTAAAAAAGATTTAAAATTTTACTTGAAAAATCTTGAAAAATCTATACACCAACTCTCAAGATGGAAATATAAATTTTTATTATAACGAATAAGTCAACAATATTGTTTAAATAACAAAGTCTTCTTCAACCATTATTATAATCTATCCAAACGTATTTTTGAACAATGGATCCATGATATTCCATATAGACTTCTGAGCTCATTAAGATCATTAAAAGCCTTCACTCAAGAAGTCGTTAGTCATACATGATAATTTCAATATTTTTCAGGAATCCTGAATAAGGGATGTGATATGCTTTCATTCATTGTAATGTTAAAAATCATTAAAATACAATTTATTTTATCAGTGAAATTTTATATAATAAAAAATACATGAATTTATACAAGTAGAAGATTGATAGAAATTTGACTCTGATACCAGTTAATCTAGGATGGAGGAAGTCAAAACAGTTTTTGAAAAACTTATACGAAGTAAAAAAAGCAAGAAAATATAGTTTTAAGACTAATTAAGGTATGTTGGGATATTAAAAAAATTAATTTTGAAAGATTTCAACAAAAGTAAAAAAGAAACGAAAATTAACCTCTGATATTATTTATCCAAGACAAAAAATGTAAAAAAATAAGAAAAATTAGAAAAAACTATAGAGAAAAATATTTAGTGCAGAGGATCGTAAAAATTAGGACTATTTTAAAGCGCCATATATTAAAATATAATTTTAGAAAGACAAAATTGTCTACAACTAATTTTTTTATATTTTCTCATATGATATTTCAAAAATTGATAGTTAGTGAGTTCCTTTAAATATTATTTTAGTCAATGAATTTTTATAATTTTATAATTTAATTAAAAATACATATATACAATTGTAAAATATTTTTAGCCAACATATATATATTTAAAAGATTTTCACAAGAAGTTTTAATAAATAAATGAAATTAAACAAAAAGTCAACCCTATGATTTAATAAGTCAACACTATAATGTAATGATTATGAATAAAAGTTAAATATCAAAATTAGAAAGAAGGCTTGTGTAATATATATTTTGATTTTAAGAATATTCATATAGATTTTCAAAACAAAAATGAGATCTCTGTAATTTAAATAGGAAAGATATTGATATATTTTACTCTTTTTTTATTCTTAAATGTAAACAAAATCAGAAGAATCACAAAGGCAACAAATAAAGTGGAAATGTTAATTTGGTATTTTAAAATCTATCTTTGAATCGTTGGTCCTTTTAAATAATTCTAATTTTATGGTTCTTCTTACTAAATATTTTTCTCTACAGGTCCTCTGGCTTAATTCTCCCAAAAAAATAAATCTGTAATATTCTTAAGGATATACTAAAAATTTTTTTCTTAAATAGAAAGATATTAAAAAAAGATTCAAACCTTTTATTTTTTGCCAATTTAATTAATTTATGTTATAAAATGTGAAAGTAATGAACTAGTTAAATATAAAATTAAAAAACTGAAAAAAATATTAACCAAATATATCCTTAAAAACTTTCTTCCATCATAATTCATCGTAAAATTCAAGAGATGAAACTAAAAATTAGAGGTAAAAAAAAATGAAAAGCCACAATTGTTTTGATGGTTCTTTATCCTAAGTAATAATCTTAGTTAATTAAATTGTACTAGAAACATTTAAAAGATGTTTCAAACCGTTTGGAAATAATTTCAGACTAATTAAATAGAGATAAAATTTCAATTGACTCAATAATTTAAGAAAAATAGTTATTCTTAAACTAAACTTGATAAATATTGAGTCAATCAAAATTTATTTTCAATTCAATTATGTTGTGATTTTAAAAGTAACATTATTGCTTATTTATAAATACACAACAATGATAAGTAATATTTTGGATTTTCAGAATCCTTTTCCTTTAATACTAAATCTGATTAAGGAAAGAAACTAAGTCTCATAATTAATTAATGATTTATATTAAGATTATAATGAATATTATTTTAATTTGACCAGCCAATGAAAATTATGGCTAATGATGTGACTCTCATAAGTATGAGTGTAAGTTTAGACTTAGCTATCAACACGAGGACTTATTGATAGGTATTACTTACGGTCCTAATTATAAAACCTCAATTATAATCTATAAATGAGATCTTATAATTAGAATCAAAAAATATTTTATAAATAGCTTTATAAAATCTATCTAGCTTAAAACTTGCCCTGACCCAATTAGCTATAGAGACTCAAGAAGCTTTTGCATAATTGATTCAAAATTCAGGAGATTTTGTATAATTTAGGGGGAAAAAACTTTGACTAGTGAAAAAAAAAGATGTATTATAAGCTCACGAGATCTATAATGGTTATATAAGACTTAATTTATTTACTTAAGTGCATTGATTACCTTTATTATGTATTTGTCTGGGTAGCCAATGTTACTTGTGACTTGTGATAAAAGAAGTTAGATCGGAAATTAATTTTAGTTGACTCAGTATTTATGAAGTTAAGTTGATGAGTCACTATGTTTTTTTACTTTTTTCGAAAAAAAAATCTTAAATATAAAACACTCGTAAGATAACCAATGACTCTTGCTTTAATAGAGGCAAGTATGGATAATTTTATTAATTTAATGTATTTTTTGATATGTGAGAATGAATTACAATTAACTTATATATAAAAATAGAGTCATATTTGATAAGCTATGGAGTCAATTAAAGTTCTATATTCTTTTTTAACAACATTAAAGCGTTATATTCTAAATTGAATTTTCTAAGTCTTATAACTTAATATGATTGGAAAAATTTCTTGTCCTAGTTATTGGGCATCCTATATTTTTTTCTTTTTCTTTTTTGGAAAATTTTAAATCCCAAATTCATTAAAAATAAGAATATTAAACTATACAATACTATTAACAAACATTTATATATTAAGGTATGGGAAACTTTTTCGGCCACACAAGGGAGGATAAATTTGGTGCTTTCTTTTGAGATTGTTAATATCTTAGATATTGAAAAAGGCTTTGATACTTTCTTTTTAGAGATAAAATTTCAATATGCTTAATAATTTATCAAACAACTTAAGAAAAACAATTGTTCTTAAACTAAACTTGGAAAATATTGAGTCACTCAAAATTTATCTCCAATTCAACTATACTGTGGATGACCCAAAAAAAAAATTCACTTATGGGACTTGTGATTCCACAAAGTAAGGTTGCCTATTTAATAAAATATATTAAATGAAATGGATTCTGAAAATCCAAAACATTAATTCTGATTAATGTGTTTTTGTATATAAATAGGCAAGGTCACTTTGTGAAATCACAAATCCCACCATAGTTGAATTGTTTTGCCATCCACAGCATGGTTGAACTGGGGATGAGTTTTGACTGACTCAATATTTATCAAGTTTAGTTTAAGAGAAAAATTATTTTTCTTAAATTATTTGATAAATTATTGAGTCAATTGAAATTCTATCTCCAAAACAATTTTATCAATCTCAAAAAAAGCACAAGCTCTTCTTCTGCGTCAATCTCCCGGCCAAATGATAAAGGAATAGATTTTTCTAGTCCCCAACATATTCACTTGCAAATGTTTCGGTTAAATAGAGTCTCCTTTGGATAATTATTTTTCTCGTTAAATTCTGTTTACAAAACCATTTTGGTAGGCAGTTAAGGTTTTGACGAATATTATAATACGGTAGAAAAAATGATGGAATTTTGTTGGAAAAAATGATTATAAGAATGCATAATAAGAACGCTGGATTTGTTGACAGACATTGTCGCCAAGGAAGCTTTCAAGTTGACGTCTGATCTTTCATTCCCCAATATATGTATTTTTTTTATTTGAGGTATTATCGGTATGAATACATTTTTTAATGAGGATTCAAATATTAGTTTATCATATTAGATTAACTCGTTCCACAATTCATCTTTTGTTATTAGAAAAACTGAATAAAAATAAAAAAGTGGAGCTGTTATTATTTTTTTCCAAAAACATGATTATTTTATATTATAGAGTAAAATACTCTGACTATTCTTTCAATTTGTATCAATTACATATATCTTCCTTCTATTTTAAAAATATACAGTTTAATGTAATAGGTTAACATTATTTTTAAGTGAAATAATGTTATTCTAAAAATATTATTTTTATCTGAAATTTATATTAAAATAAATTTTACCTACTATTTTATCCTTCATTCTAATAAGTTTCTAAATTATATTTTTATAGTCACATAAATTTCATTCATTTAAGACAAACATAAAAGACTTGATTAAAAATTTAACTAATTTTTTCAATAAACATATATATAATTTGACTAAACATGTTTATAAATTTTAGTGATTTAAATTTATTCATATTAAATTTTAGTGAATTGTTTTTCTATTTTTTCACTGCAGTTTGAATTATTCATATTAAATTTTAGTGATTTAAATTTGTTTTTATATATTTTATATAAAATAATAATTTTATAAAATACTTTAAAAAAAAAAAAACAGAAAACCAGGAGAAAGAAGGGAAACAAGTGGGGAGACGGATCAGGCCCAAAAATCCACCTTTATATAAGGAGTCCACTGGCCGACTCCTAGCGTTCTGGTAGTTGGGGTTTCGAATCATTCGTCGCCGCCCTTGCGGCTTTCTCTTTGATTTAGTTGTCTTGGTTCAATTTCAATTCCGGAAAAAGTTTTAGATGTGATGAAGAAGTAAACCATTGATTACTTGGTCGTTTTCGTGGCGATGAGGCAAGATGAAGATGATTCTTTACATATGGTTCGTATTCACTGAGCATCGATCTGTTTAGTATTACCTTTTTCTCATTTTTATCAACGAAGGACCTATGGAGGAGGCGCTATGATTCAGTGTGCTTTTATCCAAGTTTGCCTTCGGAAATAGCATCGAAATCTGATCGCTCACCAATTCCCTGATTCGTTGGTGGGGTTAATGTTCGTGTCTGATTTTCGCACATTTTTATGCAACTCTCTATTTTCCTTGATGCGAAGGTCCCAGCAGGGGAGCGAATTACTCTTACAGTGAGGCTCCTCTAACTATTTATTTCAAAGCCCTTCGCAGATTTAATAGCCGAATCGTAGGATGCCCAGAATGTTTTGATTTTTGGTGCACCTGGAACCCTCGGCTAAATGTCAACCTCGTTTTAATGTCTCTCTCAAATGTTTTCTGGCCATCTCTCCACATTTTATTGGCGTATGAACTTTGGAATTTTGTTTTACCAGCATCAGTGATGAATACTCTAAATTGTTATCCTTGCACTTTGATTGCCAGTGAAGAATCTTATGGGGAATGATCATTCTGAGATGCCATTTCATTTGTAAAACATTACTCTAAAAAGCTAAGCTTTTGCAGATTATCTGTCATAAGATTATTTGAATTTTCCCAGTGTTTCTATCTCTATTAACATATATAGTTATACGGACTACTACCGTCTATTTATCGATCTTTCTCTGTTTCGGTTTATGCTTAAATGTACTCGGCTTTCATTTACTATGGATCCGTGATGCTACAATGAAACTGCGTTATCTATCTGAGTTCCGAGAAGGGATTGAAGATAATGATGATATGCTGAGATCTACTGTTAGGATTTGAGTTACTTTGGCTAAACAAAATGCTATACTTGGTTTCTCCACATATATGAACGCACTGTGGGTATTATTGATCTCCACATTTTTAGTGTTAAGGATTTCTCTCTTTTTTTTTTTTTAATATCTTCACAAGAGGAAGACAACTGTTCTTGAGTGTGACGTTGAAGATGCATTTCGTATGAAGATCATATAGGCATCATGGAGATGCATTATGGAAAACTTGAGGCAAAAGTGATTGCAAAGTCCTTTTGTAAATAGTCAATTTTAATTAAGGCAAAAGTGATTGCAAAGTCCTTTTGTAAATAGTCAATTTTAATTAAGGCTCAACTCATTTTGCATTGTTGATCTTTTTTTCAAGGTACTTGAGATTTTCTATGGTTTTATAGTAGTTCTCATGCTAAGGTTTTATATCTATCTATCTGAGTTCTAGAGAGGAATTGACGTGACAACTCCTGTTAGATATGACATGGTCCTACTATTGAAAACTTAATCAGTTAAAAAAGTTGATTGGATATTGAATCAGTGCAGATAGTGGGACGGTAACACAAGAGTTTGGTCATTTATAAAAATAAAATAAAATAATATTCATAAATGATAATTAGTCAACAAAATACAAAACTACAAAAGTAATTTAAATATTTAATTATATTAAACTAACATAAAAAAAGTACATATCTTCATCATTCACAGCTGAAATAAGAGCACATATCTGAGTATATATGTACGTGAAAAATTAAAAACGACAGCCAAGTTGCACGACCATCTATTAAAATTCAACTCCTGTCATATGGTAAATTCAAGGAAAAATTGAGAAGGACCTAAAAAAATTAGTATTTTTGGAGAGAGATCTTAAAAATTGTAATTAATTTGAAGGACTAAAAATTTAAATATGAATTTACAATTATGAAATTATCCCTAGTTAAATCCCTACATTATTTCCAAGATCAATCTCAATATTTGACTATCAGTTATCAATTGAAATATAAATTTATAATTACTAAATTGCCCCTTATTAAAATTAAAAACTAAATACAGCAATTAACAAAAAATAGAGTCTTATTTTTTAGTCATTCATATTTGCATCTACTAGCCTTTTATTCTAATATAGCTGGAAAATTTTTCAGCTTGCACAACTGCGATTTTGCCCCTCATTCCGATGTGGTTGGAAAAATTATTAGTAAAGCTTAGGTTACGAAGAGGTACTATTTACTTATTTTCATATTTTGGTTAACACAAGGAACTATATTTATATTCATCTAAGAAGCTTTGTATAGGTAGTGTGATTGTATTCATATGTATGTATAGTTGGGATTGAATGAAGGCACAACTATATACTTTTATATTCATCCAAAAAGTTTTTATATAGAGGCGATGAGAAAATTAAAAAACATTCGGTACAAATAAATTAAAAGAGGAAAAATAATGTTCAAAATATACATACCGTCCAATAAATAGTCTGCCAGTTGATTCTTTTTAGTTTGTCTTCTTTGTTTTGAATTCACAAAAAGACAATTGCTATTGATAAAAACTTTGGATGCATCAAAAAGAGATACAAAGAGAGAGAAATAGAGAAATCAAGTTCAATTGATAATTAACTGTCAAACTGAGATAGGAGGGTGTTGGAGATAATATAGGGATTTAATAAGGGATAATTTAGTAATTGTAAAATTTTATTTTAATTTTTGGTCTTTCAAATTAATTATAATTTTTAAGATCCCTCTTAATAAATACTAATTTTTTTAGGTCCTTCTCCCTAATTTTCTCTAAATTCAATTCTATCACTCTCTTGAGTGGACTCGTCCTCTTTTTTTCCCCCTTTATGTTAACTCCTTATCAACATTTGTTATTTTGTCCCACTCTTACAAGGTAACCCTCGTAGTTGTTTTCATCTCACATGTTTATTATTTGTGATATTATCCAAATTTAGTCTTAAATATCTTGTATGCATCCAATAACTTCTACATCCTTTTTTACTATCTTCTTAAATCTTCAAACAATAATTATTATGTCATTAGTAAGTATACTAAACAACACATTAAAATCCATAGCATTCAATTTCATTTTTTCACATAAACCCTAAACTTATAAATACGCTATTGTAAATTTCCTAACTTCACTTGTTAGAGGGCAAAATATGAAATTGTTACAATTAAGTTGTAAATGTATTAATTCTTCTTATAAATTGTCTAACTTAAATTGTAACACTCTTAAATATCAAATTTCTTTTTTTTTTATGAGATCAAATTTCTATATTCATCAATTTGTAAATGTACTAATTTTTCTTGTAAATTTTCTAACTTTAATTGTTAGACTACTAAATATCAAAATGCTACAATGAATTTCTAAATGCACGTAATCTTTTTTTAAATTCCTTAACTTCAGTTGCTTAACAAAGCTTTAATGTTCTTTTAATGAGTTGTCATCTTCCTACTTCTTTAATAATATATTCGATTCTAATTATAAAATTTCGTTTATAAACTATAAACAAAATCTTATAATTAGGATTAGAGATAATGTATCAAAAGTAATTCGATATTCTCTTTATAAGTCCACACCACAAAACAATTATTGAAATAATTTAAGAGAATCTTTATTCTGATTACGTATATTATTTGCAATAAAGAGAAGTTTTCATAAATGTGATTTATAATATGAATTGAAATTAAGTAGGCACTTTTGAACATATATTTTGCGTTAAAATTTTATTAAGAATTATAATGAAGAGAATTTCTTAAGGATATATTAAGTTAATATTTTTTAAGCATTTTAATTTTATACTTAATTGGTTTATTATTTTCTTATTTTATAATATAAATTAATTGAGTTGGCAAAAATGAAAAGATTTGAATTTTTTTTAATATCTTTCTATTTAAGAAAAAAATTTAGTATATTTTAAAGAATGTTACACATTTATTTTTTTTGATACCTCTTTCGTATTGTATCAACTGGTATTAAAGTTTGATTTTTGCTTCTCTTCCACTCTCGTTAAAAGGTAAAACCTTTCAAAATCAATCACTTTAATATTTCCAATATACATCAATTGGTATTAAAGCCACATTTCCTTCTTTTTTAACTCTCATATAAGCCTTTCAAAAACTTGTTTTGACCTACCCATCCTATATTAATTGGCATTAGAGCTAAATTTCTACTTTACCTCTACTTGCACAAACATTTTAAAATCAATTCCCTTTTACTTACCCTGCAAAGTTTTTTTTTTTAACTATTTGAGAAATTTATTTATTTTATTTATTTGAATTCTAAATCCATAAAATACTGTTATATTGATATTTGAAGATGAGCTTGTTGTTTTTGCAAATCGATATGACAACCCAAGCCAGATGAGTCTAGTAGAACTAACTATATTTGTAAGTAGTACAACAATAAATTTTTTTTATACATTTAATTGCATTAACTAATAATTAAGATACTTTTATGATACAAACAGTTATATGAAGGGGTGATGGGCTAGGCTATATGTGACAAGCTCCTAAGCAATTTAGGGAACTAACGCTGCCTTCTACATGGTGTGACCTTGTTCAATAAGAGCCGGATTTAACAGCACAAGATTCTAATTTTGATGTGTTCAACTTAGATTGTTTGCTTTCATAAGTTTTTATTCAGAAACACTTGATTGGGAAGGGAAGTTGCTTCAAAAAAATATCCTAGAAGGTCAAAGGGAATATTAGATTGGACTCCAAACAACGATGAGTTTAGAAGCGTGATTGAGGAGATGATAAAATTAAATACTAATACTAGGTGTATACGTGATTTGTTTTTGAATTTGTTTGATTTGTATAGAATTTGACTGACAAAATAAATTGTGTTTTAATGGTTTTTGGGATTACAATGAATGAAAACATATTACATTCCTTATTTTAGATTCCTGAAAAAGCACTGAGGCTTTTATGCGTGGCTAGTGACTTCTTATGCCAAAAAGAAAAAAATATAAAGACTTTTAATGATCATAATAACGACTAGCGCGAACTTATTAGGGTCGAGAGAAGTCCATGGTGGGATACCAAGGATCCATTGTTCAAAAATTTGTTTTAGACAGATGATGATGATGATCGAAGAATACTTTGTTATTTGAATAATATTGCTGACCTGGTTATAATAGAAGTTTATATTTTCACCTTAAGAGTTGGCCTATAGATCTTCGGGTAAAAATTTTAAAAATTGAGAGAAAAATACGGGTAACAAATTAAAAATTGAGAGAAACTATAAGTACCTGCAAGATGGTTTTCTCAAAATACTAATTAGTCATATGTTTCTCTGGTACTCTATTTATAAGATATAGAGAGAAAATTTTTATAGGAATATACAATTTTATCATTTATTTACTATTATGTTGATTTTGTTCTAATAGGATATAATAAATATTAAATATGGATAAATAGGATGAGACGAGTACAACGTAAGCAATTTTTATAGGAATATATAATTTTATCATTCATTTAATATTATATTAATTTTGTTTTAACAGGGTATAATAAATATTAAATGTGGATAAATAGGATGAGAGGAGTACAACCTAAGCTTTTGTGGCGCGCATTACGATTTGGGCTGTTAGGATTTTGGGCCACAAAGGTATTCTAGCCCATCTACTTATAAGGCTCAATGTTTTGATGAGTTTATGTCCAAGATGGAGTTTTTTTTTTTTGGTTGGACGAAAGAAATTGATTTTTATTAATCACAACAAATTATCACACTCACTAATTCAGAATTAAAAAATAAAAAATAAATTCAAATTATTATAAAATAAGAGTCTCTCTGTTTTTTTTTTTTTATGAAGATTGATTTCGAATTGAATTTCTTTAAAATTTAAAATTAGTCATTTGAAAAAAATTTGTGGCGTTTGCTTGATTCTTCTCCATGGCTTTCAAATGTAAGGTTCAATGATATCATGAGTAGTACACCCTGTGTGGCCTTTGAAGTTTTCCATTTTTAGACCTTACAGTGCAGAAGTCTTATGCTTGGAGTATAGGCAAGATAACAAATTTCTTATGCGGCAGTCCTGCATTTTGGGAGTGAACTAAATGTACTATGTTACCTTATATTTCAGTTTCTTGTTTTGGGTGGTTTTCAATGTGAAATTTATTTTTATGTTTCCTTTAAGCTACATACAGCAAATATTTTTTGATGCCAAAAAAGAATACAGTAAACATTTTTATATTGATATATACAAAAGTTTATTTTAATTATTTTTTTTATCAGTAGTGAACTAATATTTATTGGATACATGGGGAAGTAAAGTCTAGTTAGAGAAACAAAAAGGCTTACACTTTTACATAATAAATAAAAGTCCTTTATTTTTGGCAAAAGATTGAGTTTGGAATCTAGATTCTTTAAAACGAAAAATTTACAAAAATATTTCTAAAATAAAAACATATGCAAAATAGAAGAAATAATCATTTAGAAAAAATGATTTCTTTATTACTCTCTCTATCATCATCTATATAGTTGCAATGAGGGGGGGAAAAATCAAAAGTGAAGGTTTAACCAAATGAAAGAGAGCATAATAAATGGCTCAATAAGATGAGTGGTACTATTCATTTCTTCATGACTTATAATTCTTTCTATGCCTTCTATACTTTTGATATTTTCTCAATTGGCAATTGTATCAATGAAAAGATATATCAGCCCTTGACAGTGGAGAAATTAAACCTCCACAGCATATTAAATTACCAACTGACTGCTGCCAAATGGATTCCTGCACATCAACTTAATTACGTAGTAACCCTTCATAAAGGAACCTTAATGAGTCCTCCACAAGTCTAAACTTAATCTTAATAAAATCATAAGACATGAGAATTTCCTACGTTCCAAACTCTTATGTCTAGGCATTTCAAACATTTATATCACTCTTATCAAGTTAAGGACAAAGTCCGAACTTTTTGGCCATATTAAAGAGAGGATTTGTTTGGGGGAAAAAAATCATGAAGCCCTTCATTGCTCTCAAGTTTCATACGTATCATTTGATTATCCAATTGAATAACACACGTAATGAGAAAATGCAAATATTACAGCAAATAACGCAAGTCATACTGATATCAATGAAACGGCACACTACTTTGCTTTTGAATGATAAAAATTGCATACCATAGTGATCTGTCAAATTACAGAGAGGTCAGTAGGTGTATACGAACTTACTATTTAAACAAGAAAGAAAGGAGTAATTACAGATGTGATTGACCTTGAAATTAGTTCGCTCTGGTTCACGGTGGGTCACTCAACCTGCTTGTGTATTGCATGAGGAAATAGTATTTTCCATCCAAATTTTGACAAAACAAATCATGAGAACATGAAATTGCTCAAAATATTAGGGGAATATACTTTTGACTCAGGGTGGCCAAGTGGAAACTGGACACTCCATGGGGGTTTGAATGACACACTTCAATCAAAAATGGGGAAAAACTAATTTCAGACAAGCACATGAGGGTAAACTATAGAAAGAAACAAAGCAATTCATCCACCAACTGCCCCTTTAGATTTGGAAATCAAGTTTCCACCCACTATTAACTAGACTAAGCTGATCAAATCTCTGTACTGCAAGTAGCAACAGTGGCAAAGCCCAGAAGCTTCAAAATAACAGGCCCTGAATGATTCTCATGGGGAAATGATTTTCCTGTGGGAGTGCCCTCCAAAAGAGCTTAGGTCTCCATCATGATCATGATCATGGAAAATTAGGGTCAGAACTCCTACCAAACACAGCACTGAGCCAACAAGAAGTTTGTCATACCGCTCCACCCAATGAAACTTTAGCTGACTGGCCCCATAGAATGACAACGCCACAAGTGACGTCATCACAGTTATAGTGCTGTAAAAGCCACATCATGAGTGAAGCTTGATAACAGGGGAACATATCCAAACATGACTTGCACACTGAATAGACATTTTTAGAATTTAGCACAATATGCTCTATAGAGCTTGCTAGTGTAAATGAAACTTTGAGGCTTTCCTTGAAACAATAGGCAAGTGTTAAAGCAATAAATGACATACTAATGGATCAAGTGCGTCACTGATTTATGGTCTCTGAAATGTCAGAGTGAAATAGGGAATGGGATGTGTGTGTGTGTGGGGGGGGGGGGGGGGGTTGAGATTAGAAGGAGGCATGCTATCAGCGTGTCAATGGAAGAGTTCTCTAGCCTCTTGAATGCTAGAGAAGGGCAGTCAATCATTTTCGTCTATGCTGCTCATGTTTATACTCTATAGCTTTAATCTCTCAGTTCTTTACTCCATGACTTCTGTTGATTAGAGGAGACCTCAGCTTGGCTTGTATAAATAATACAAGGATTACAAGGGGCTCCATGATATTTGATCAATGTCATTCATGTATCCGTTATATGGACATCAAAACACAAATTTTCATGAAATAGAAGGCAGTTCAATTTTCTTTCCACAACTCCATGGTAGGCCAATATCATAAATGATCACTTAATCAAAGTTAGATTTTCAAATAAACACGTTAATTAATCACATATTGACAGAAGAGATACAAGTATCCTCCAATTAGATACGCATAAATAACAGAAGCAAAATCTCAATGAGTAAAGAAAAAGGAAACCTGAGAAGCAGCACTATAATGGCAAGAACCATCATGGAAGATGAATTTCCAACAGCAAGAAATACTGGAAGTGTTGTTGCACAAGGAGATAATGCAGGAACAAGAATGAGTCCAGCAACAGCCATTTTCTCCATGGGTTGGTTGTGAGAATGACTATGGCCACCCTTTCCAGACAAAAACAACAGAACATAACCACCACCAAGAAATATGAGCAAAATTGAAGCAAGCTTATGCACTGTTTCTTCACCAGCAATAGTATTTGCCATGGTGATTGCCGTAATCCCAAGAAGTGAAGTGGATATTACATGCAAAATTGCTCCAAGTGCAGCTGAAAGAATAAAATGACAAAGTAAGGATACTGAGAAGCAATCTGTAAATAATCTTCGAAATCATGTTTGCACTTGTCAGATGACGCCAGGCAACAATCAATTGATACAATCCATTTAAGGCCCTTCAGCATGGGCATTTTTCTCCATGATGTTAGCTATAACAAGAAAAAATAAGAACCTTCGATATAATATGTTTCCTTTCATTTTTACATAATAAGAAACCTGATAAAGTGAGAGATTGCAGCTGTGCAGCAACCATATAAAATCAAAGGAAAAAAATTACAGAACAAAAGCACAAGAGTAAAATATTAGTACACTTGATAGTAGGACCTCAGTTGAGTACTGTCTTTTAGCAAGATAGAATATCAATATTTAACAGTATTCACTTTGTTAGATTCTAAAATTGTCGGTCATAAGCTATGGGATATTAGAAGTAAAATATTTATCGAATTAAATCAAACATAGGGCACCCAATTATATCGGTTCAAAATAAAAAATAATAATACTAAGAATAAAGATATGGAGGTTCATCAGAAACCCATCACCAAATTTGACTATAATTACAGAAATCAAACCACTTGAAGAGGACATTAACTCATCGATGTTGCTTTTATTCAATCCAGTTTCCCTCCTCAATAAAAAAAATAATGTTTGTTTCCTTTCATTTTTACATAATAAGAAACCTGATAAAGTGAGAGATTGCAGCTGTGCAGCAACCATATAAAATCAAAGGAAAAAATTACAGAACAAAAGCACAAGAGTAAAATATTAGTACACTTGATAGTAGGACCTCAGTTGAGTACTGTCTTTTAGCAAGATAGAATAGCAATATTTAACAGTATTCACTATGTTAGATTCTAAAATTGTCGGTCATAAGCTATGGGATATTAGAAGTAAAATATTTACCGAATTAAATCAAACATAGGGCACCCAATTATATCGGGTCAAAATAAAAAAATAATAATACTAAGAATAAAGATATGGAGGTTCTCATCAGAAACCCATCCCAAATTTGACTATAATACAGAAATCAAGCCACTTGAAGAGGACATAACTCATCGATGTTGCTTTTATTCAATCCAGTTTCCCTCCTCAATAAAAAAAAATAATGTTGTAGAGTCGGTCGAAGAAAATCGTAATTCCGAGATCCTCATAAAGACTAGCACATATAACGTACAAAATTTTTGAAAAAAAAAAAGGAAATACACTGATTGATACATTGCCGAAACAGAACACCAGACCAGTCCAAATGTATTCAACACAACTTCATATTAAGACCCCAATTTCCCACGATTTTCGGGCACAAATGTACGTACCCCTCTGTTCTTATAGCAAGAGAAAAGATTTTTTTAATCCTTCTATAAGTGACAACATTCAATAATATAAATATCTTATTTTACTCTCAATTTATTGTTCCATAAATTATTGTTAAAGTTTATATATTAATATGAATAAATTTGAAAAGTATTACCTCCACTCATTAATATAAGACTTTGTTTGACTTTTATTTTGATTCTAAATATATAATCTCACTCTAATTTGTCTCTCATATTTGTATTTTTTTTTAAGATAATCTATCTAATAACAGTAATTCTAGTCAATACACTTTATTAGTAATGATATTTTAAGAAAAATAATATTTATTTATTGTAAATAACTAACTTAACTTATTTTTTTAATTTTTTTTAGTTAATTAACTCTTATATTTAAGATAGAAGATAGTGTTAATAAGATTAAATGTTTTCTTTAATTCAACTAAAATATGTTAAAAATAATTTACAAATAAGCCAGAGGAATATGTATATTATGAAAACGGAGCAAACTTTCCTCCGGGTGCTTTTGTCCAGTATATCCCGTTATCCTATCAATAAGAGCCATCTGTACAATATTTACCCATAATCGTACACGGCGTTTGTCCCCTCTGTCATCTTCCGTCGTTATTTTCACCTGTCAAAGGACAAACTTCAAAATAAATGAGTTTTGGGAAACGCCCCCCGGGGGGGGGGGGTCTTGGAAGTTGCAGAGCCAATGAATTTCGGCACAACGAAATTAGAATGTGAGAAGCCTGTGGCAGACAAGGAGGACAAGCTAGAATTTCCATCATACGATGATTCTGATTCAGACGACAAGCATGGGTCAACAGCAAAAGTAGCAGTGGTCATTTTGAATGTGAGAACTTGTGGGATGAGCGTCGTTAACGATGATGTGTAAGTATTGTACATATGGGTCTTAATGATGGGATAACTGGATGTATTGGACATAAGCACCTGGAGGTAAGTTTTCGGCATTTTTGTCGAAAACCTATAATCAATAAAAGATTTTACCTAAACTCTATCCGGTGGAAATTATCTACTAAAATACTATATTAAAAATCATTTACGTGAAGAATGATTTTAATTTTACAAAAAAATCTTGCTTTTACTTTAATCTCTTTCCGCATTATATCACTCTATTACTCTGACAATTATTATTTTTTTTTTTTAAAAAAAGAAAGTGAAATAGTTCATACTAAGAACCACTTTCCTCTCAATTTCCTAATCAATGAATAGTGCGAGAATTGTTTACAAATTAGTTCTTAGCTTCTATATTAAGGAAGAGTGATAGAAACATTTTTCTATTATTTTTGCAAGATCAAATTGAATTACTATCAGAAAATTTCAGGCAATGTACAGTTAACAAAGAATATTTTTGTACAAAAAAAATCAATTTTAAGATTAATTAAAGTTAATACAATCTTTAGTTCATCAAATTTGCTCTCATTTTGATTTTGACCCTTTAAGTTTCAAATCACAAATTATGGTCATTTAAGGAACAAAATGGTCTAGGTTTTTATTAAATTATAGGAACAAATATTTTAGATGGAAAGAAATTTAAGGGGTCAAAACCTATGATTTGAAACTTAAAGAACCAAAACCAAAATGAGAATAAACTTGAAGGACCAAAAAACATATTAACCCATTAATTTATATTACCTCTGATAGACCTAGTTAACTAATTTGAAAAAATTAAGAAGGCTAAAAAAATACTTAATTATAATATATGTTACATGATCTTTCTAAAATATTCGATTGTGTCATTAGATTATATATCACTTCATAAGCTAGGCCAAATGGTCAAAATTGAGGATATTACATTATTAATAGGTCCAGGACCAAATTATTTTTCAACCCATTCGCAAGATGGCAAACAGGAGAAGTGAGAGAAAAAGTGAAATCATTTTTAACATAAATGATTTCATTTTTTCATTAAAAAACAATTGTCAGAGTGATAAAGTGTTATAACCAGAAAAAAGATTAAATTGAAAGCAAAGTGACTCTTAGCAAGAACGATTTCTTTGTAAAATTGAAATCGCCAATCGTTCTTGACATGAAAGATTTTCAATGTAGCATTTTGGTAAATAATTTCTGCCGTACAGTATTTAGGTAAAATTTTTTTACTGTTTATAGGGATTTAATAAAATGCCGTAAGTTTTCTCCTAAAAAAACCGCTTTGAAAATAAAAGTTACATAATATTTTTTATGATTTTTAATATAAAAGTTAATTAGAAAATTAGATTTGGTTTTTTAATTCATCTTATTTATCATTTTTTAAACTAATTGACTCAATTTAAAAACAAATATAGATAATATTATATTAAGATCATGTTATATTGATATAATTAATTGATTTATTTGATTTTTTAATTTATTCAAATTAGCTAAGTAGCTCTTATATTAAAAATTTGGAGTTAGTAGTAATAGTGGACATAATTGGCAAAAGCAATTATGGATATAAATTTGAATTTATGTAACATTAAATTTCTATATTGTGTGTGTGTGAATTCTGAGTGAATTGAATGTAACAGGGGACTTAAGGTTAGACTACGATCAATTTCAATAAAATTGGTCAAAACCTCCATTTGAAGATAGTGAAAAACTGAAAATCTAATAAGTAATAGTTTTATTTTATTATCTTTTTCTAAGATTTGCAAATTAGGCTATCATTAGCTTCTAATTAAACAAACTGATATAGGTCATAACTATTCTCTTTTAATATTTTTTAATTAGAAACCTTTTTATATGTAAAAAAGGCGTTGGCTGAGACTAGTCAACTTGGCCTATTGGTACATACACCAAGTCTCCATAAGTGGAGCCGATGAATAGTACTAGGCTTACAGACATTTTATTGTAGTTATGAACACTAGATAATCATTTTATTTATGACAAACATGTGTTAATTTTTTTAAAATATTTTTATCTAATAATTTATATTAGTACCTCTAAGCTGATGAATAGGGATATTTTGAAAAAAACATTATAAATTTGAAAAACAAAGTGGATTGATGTCTTATATTTAAAACTAAATCTAATCTTCTATGAATTCTTATTTTTAGGATTGGAAGTAGTGTTAATTTTCTCAAAATTGACTTATTTTTCTCAGATTATCGATTTTGAGCCTGTTCGGAATAGCTCATGTCAACTTTTATTTCTCCTGTGCACTTCACATGATTTCATAAAATTACTCTTGTTACTTTTATTTTTCCGAATACTATTGTTACTTTTAACCTATTTGCTTGTTTTTATGACATTCTTGCAGTACCTCTTACAGAAATTAGTATTAAGGATGGAACTTGTATAGCTGGTTTCTCTCTAAGACCCAACCTGCCAATTCTTCTCTAAATATTTCTTTGTGAGATACTTCTTGAGTCCTTAATATAAGACGTGATTGGGAAGTTGATGTTGATCCTATATACAAGACATATTTCACATGTTATTATTTTTTCCCCCAAATTGACCATATTAATATTTTTCAAACAATAATTATGAGAGATAGCGAAGGAATTAAGAAAGATACTTATGATGTTTTAGAGAAAAAAATCATATTAACTAATTTAACTAACATCCCTAATCTATTCAAATTAGTTAATTAGGTCTTATATTAAGAATCAGATGAGTATATTTATAATTTTTACTTTGATCTACTCTTGCATTTGCATTATTATTAATTATATACCAACTTTCACATAGCAAATACTACTCATTTGTCAATATGGAGATTGGTTGGAATGAAAAACTCACATAAACTTTATGTTGGCTTAGTTTACTTATACAAAAATGAAAGCAATGCATAAACTTAGATTGAGCTGTGATATATTTAGATTTAAGAAAAAAGATTACAAACCAATATAAATTTATTAAACTCATGGTTTTGGTACTAGAATGAGAGCACATTACATTATAGAGGTGGGGAATAAGAGTTAGTTTGGAGGATGGCAAGCACAATAACACTCGCCTTGCCTATTACATACTGACACAGAACAAGGTCCTTGACATTGTAAATCCTTGCAATGATAGTCAACTGAGCACTTTTTCATTAAATTGCGTGTGTTTATTGTAAGTTCAGCACATTTGCATTTTCCTGCAAGACACCAAGGTTCTCTTCTGCATTCAACCTTCCCAACACAATCAACATTTCTAGTGCATTGAGCATCTTCTTGGCTAGTTGAAATGCCTGCATAGTCATTTTACACAAAATCAGAGAGAAGACATAAATTATGGACCTGTTTAGAATGTCTTATAAGTAAATTTTCATTCGTAATTTATGAAATCCGAGGTAAATATATAAGAAGAATTTTGTCTCAGTTTATGTGAGAGTACTCATAAACACTTGGACATTGCAAATCCAGAAAAGTGAATGGGGGGAATAGATTTTAATGGTCTATTTGTTATGTGGCAAAGGGAGATGAGAGATGAAAAATTTTAATGGGCTCGATTTAAAAAAAAAAAAAGATTGAAGAAGTGGGTTGAAAGTTTTTAATCAATTTTCTTACTTTTTCATGGTACATATTCTTTTTTATTAAAATTTTATAACCCTACTTATCTTTTAGGAAAAATGACACATAAAGAAACCTGAAATTATAAAATGCCAAAATGAGAAGCTAAGCAAATGTATTACCAGATAGGGAAGTGTTGCCTGATTTGGGATTATGCAAATGTTGCACAATTACGAAATAGCCCTTCAGTCAATCAGCGTTTGAAAGCGAAGAGAGAGAGGCGCGAACATTGGTGCACTGCCCAGTTGTGCTTCCCGGTTTCTCGCTTCCACCATTCCCATTGTTGCCCTAAAAATGTCGGCAAGCTGGACAGTTGACGACCCCAAAATAGTGTGTGCGTAAGAGAGCAGAGGAGTTGGAAGTGGAAGGGTGTACTGTTCGAAGGGCGAACGTGGTCGCGTCTGATTGATTGTGTGAAAAGACGAAGGTTGGCGCACGGTGATTCACTATTGCAGTTAACAAGCATCAACAGCATTTCACTGAGGTAAGTTTAGGCATTTAAGTTTCGTGCTGTGGTCGATGTTTCTGGGTGAGTCTGGGAAGCAATGATTGGGTAATATTTAGATATGACGCGATGAAGTTTGTGAATGACAGGAATGGCGATTAAGGGTTTATGCTGAGTCTCTATGTCAAGCTATTTTGTTTTTTATAACGAAGTTGAGAACTGTGACGTTAGGGAAAAATGGGTTTTCAAATCAGTAGGAAAATTGTCTGATTGACTGGAAAGATTATATGAACGAACTAGAAATGACAATAACATATTAGTAAATGACTATGAAGGAACATAAAATGACGATATTCATAGTAATGACCTTACTGTCTGATCGACTGGAAAGATTATATGAATAAACTGGAAGTAACAATACCATACTGGTAAATGACTATGAAAGAATTTGAAATGAACATATTCATAGTAATGACCTTACTGTCAGACTGTAATGGCCATGTTAGTAATGACAATGAATTAATTGGAGATGACCATATTCATAGTAATGATCTAACTGTTAGTCTGTAATGGGCATATTGGTAATGACAATAAATTAACGGGAAACGACCATATTCATAGTAGCATCCTTACTGTCAGTCTGTAATGGCCATATTGTAAATGATAATGAAGGAATTGGAAATGACCATAACAAATCTGGAAAGAACTAGATATCTAGTATATGTATAAAAATTATGATTTAATGATGGTACCTTGATGACTTTGCAGAACTATACGAGATGGTGTTAGAAGAAGGGGAAGGGTCCACAAGCAAAGGAGTCTACAGTGGGCTTGTGTTGTTCAGAAGGGAGTATATGGCAAAACGAAGGGAGAAGTGTAAAAACGCAAGAGAAGAAAAAATTAAAGTAGGGAAGGCATGGAGGGCCCTGAGTGAAGAAGAGAAAGATAGGTATAACGAGAGGGCAAGGAAAACGAAGCCACAGAAAGGTGAGAAGAAGAAGTATGATGTTCCCTTGTACACCCGGTGCTTA